GACGAGCCATTACCCGTCCTAATTCGCGCACACAACAACGGCAGCGACAAGAAGGCAGGCACCGACAGAGAGGACATTCCCAAGATAATACTGAGCACCGTGGTGAAGCCAGACGACTTGGACGCATTCTACGCACGGTATGCCGAGGCGTGTAAGACAGGCATGAGTGGGCTCAAGAAGCGAGACAAGAAGAAGGCGAAGAAGACCAAGAAAAAGAAGAAGGGCGAGACCAAAGTATGAGGAACATTGGACACTGCGAAAGCATGAGACGCACAAGAAACACGTCGTTATCATAAAGCACCGATTGATTGATCTTGAGAGGTCACGCGGGTCGCATCGAGAGTATGTCGCTGAGGGAGAAGTGCTACTGGAAGAAGGCACAACAACGACTTGGACGAAGAGATCCTATCAAATCCGGCACCAGTGCGCGAAGACTCTCATGGAGTACAGTGCACCAGAAGATACCACTGAATCATATTCATACTTTACAATCCCCACCATTACTCTCACAATGTCTCCGCCGTCTTCTTGAACATCTTTGTGCTCACAGGCAGCGGTTGCCCCATCCACGTCGCTCTTTGAGTGTGGTCTCTCAACTCATCGTCGGTGTTTGGGTGAATCAGTGCAGACAATGGCCCCCTGTTGACCACGAGCCAGGGAATGAAAGCACCGAACTGCTCTACTAGTCGTCAGCATAGGCATAGAGGTGAGGTCTTTCGATACATACCGGGCGTGAAAATGTTGACCTCGAACATGGCGAGAGGATGGGGTCCAATAGGCCGGTCCCATACTCGGTAAATGCGCAATTCGGGGACTTCGTGTCGTATGAGCATCCTAGCATATTGAGTATATGGATATTGTCCTTACATTCGCGGCGTATCCGTTCCCACAACTCGTTGGCGAACTTGACCTCCTCATTATCAGACTGGAGGAAGTAAATGTGGACGCTAGTTGCTGTCAAATACATAGATAACTGCATCTCAAATTTAAGACTTACTCGAAGCCTCCTCGAATTCCGTTGGTTATAGGAGCTACAAAGGACTTGTATGCTTCGCTCTTCTTCTCGGCTGGTGGGTTTGCATAGGATTTGCCATCTTCGGCCTTCTCACTTGAAAATGTTAGCACGTGCTCCAAACAAATATGTGATCGTGGTCGGAAGGTATCACAGGTAAAGTGTTCAAGGGCAACATACTCCGGCAATGGCTCCATACCTTCGTAGCCCTTCAGAGGAGACGGATACGTGTAGAGATTTGGATCGGCCATGTTTCAAACTGAACGCTATCTTGACGTTTGAGTGCACTTCTCTTGTTGTATCGCGTAACTTTTATAATTGACGAAACAATCAACAATACGCAGCGGAGGTCTTCCGTTTGTCAGCGCGGAATTACAGCGGCCTTGGTTTGCAATGCCCCAATGCAGTCAGTCAGCCCATGTACCAAGTTACAGATGCACTCATACATATGGCGTGCATCATGTCAAATCGTTCTATCATGTGAGCTTGCGTGTTAAGTCCAGATTGTGATGTGAGACGAGTGAGCCGTCAAGTCGCACCAAACCTTGGAAGCATTACGTTCAATCTGGGCAATGAGCGATCATTAGGAACACATCGTAAGCCGACGGGGAAAACGTGTCTAGTATACAGCTCTCTATCAATGGGAAACGCATTGATATGACTCTTCACCGACAGATAAGGAGGCGGCGCAGGAACAATAAGTCCTTATCGATACATGTCGCGCTTCACATAGGCGTGCACGGAGCCTTGGAGGGGTGAGTCAAGCACCCCGCGGCCACCCAATATATTTCGGAGCGCAACAACCACCCATTGAACACCACACGATACCCCAATCCCGCAACCATGGCCGAAGCCACCTACTACATCGACGAAGACGTCGGTCACGACACCCCAGAGCAGACCGGCGACGAATCGCTGCCCTACAAATCACTCGGATACGCTGTCCTCACCCGCGGCGAGACAGCCAAGTTCCTCACCCGCAAGAGTGTCACTGGCGAGATCGCAGAGGGCGCCGACGCGACATCGAGGTTAGAATGGAAGGATGCCGCCAAGTCGGCCATGAAGAAGGCCGTCAACTACGCCAAGACACAGAAGAAGAAGCAGGAGAAGGACCAGCAATTGCTTGCGCAGCGCATGAAGGAAGAGCACGACCGCAACAAGGTGCTAGACGAGGCTAAAAAGATTGTCATAGAAGAGGACAAGAGCCTGCCAGCGCCCATCAAGATCAAGCTCGACGACACCGACTCGAAGAAGATTACACTGGGAGATGGCAAGGACACAAAGGGCACACGTGTACGCGTCTTTGGTCGTGTACATCGTGAGCGGAGACAAAAGGATGTCATGTTCGTTACTTTAAGAGACGGCTACGGTCAGATGCAAGTCATCTTCACCGGCAACCTGGCAAAGACCTACGACGCCCTTACTCTGACCCGCGAAACCAGCATGGAGATTTTTGGAGAGCTGAGGAAGATTCCAGAGGGTGCACACGCACCCAACAACCGCGAACTGCACGTCGACTACTACAAGATCCACGATGGATGGAAGGCGGCCGGTGGTGACGATGCCATCACCAACAGAGTATCAAAAGACACTGAGCACGCGACACTACTAGACCTGCGACACCTCACTCTCCGCGGAGAGACAGCCTCCAAGGTCATGATCGTCCGTGATGCCGTCGAGTTTGCCTTCAACCAAGTCTACAAGGAGATGCGATTACGCAAGGTCAGCCCGCCCGCGCTCGTCCAGACGCAGGTCGAAGGCGGTGCTACGCTCTTCAAATTCGGCTACTACAACGAAGAAGCCTACCTCACCCAGTCCTCCCAGCTCTACCTCGAGACCTGCCTACCATCTATGGGTGACGTCTACTGTATCGAGAAGTCTTTCCGCGCGGAGAAGTCGCTCACGCGCCGCCATCTGGCAGAGTACACGCACGTCGAAGCCGAACTCGACTACATCAACTTCGACGACCTACTTAACCACCTGGAAGAAGTTATGTGCCGCGTCCTTGAAGTCACAATGGCCGACCCCGTCGTCAAGCAATACATCATGGACCTCAACCCAGAGTTCCAACTCCCGGAGCGACCATTCAAGCGCATGAAGTACCAAGACGCTATTGACTGGCTCGTCGAGCACGAGATCCCCAATGAAGACGGCGAGCCGCACAAGTTCGGTGATGATATTGCTGAGGCTGCTGAGCGTCGCATGACGGATATCATCAACAGGCCCATCTTCTTGACCCACTTCCCCACAGAGATCAAGGCTTTCTACATGCTCAAGGATAAGGACGATGCGCGGGTCACCGAGAGCGTCGACTGCTTGATGCCGGGTGTTGGAGAGATTGTCGGAGGTAGCATGAGGATGGACAACTACGATGAGTTGATGGGTGCGTTTGCACGCGAAGGTATCGATCCTGCGGCGTACTACTGGTACACCGACCAAAGGAAGTAAGTCACCAAAGCCACCAACACATTTCTGCACCAGTTCAAGATTTGCTAACACAGCCCTTTAGATACGGTTCCTCACCCCACGGCGGTTACGGACTCGGTCTCGAGCGCTTCCTCGCCTGGCTCTGCAAGCAGCACACCGTCCGCGACTGCTGCCTGTACCCCCGCTACTTCGGCCGCTGCAAGCCTTGAGCAAAGAACCTGATGTACTTCCTTCACGCATCTTTGCCCCGAAGCTCTCGTACTACAGAAACGAGATGAAGTATGAGTTGAACTGATTCGTGCAACGTGGTTTCACGAGAGCCAGGCTCCCGCTTGTGCCAGCACACATGGCCTCTATTGTCTTGTCTTGTCGCATTAGGCTGAGACGAATGGGACCGAATCGTTAGATGAAATCATATCCAATCAACATGTTCCCATGCGCCCCCGCCTTGTTTGTGTTTTGTTTTTCTCCGGTCAAAGACTCTGTGTTGCAGCCTCATTGATGTATACACACGAAGTGGGGTCGATAGGCCATCAGCAGTTGCCCTGAGTCTTAGTTCGCTGCTTATCGTGCAACTGTGTGCGACGTGTCTGACATGGTGAACCCGGTAAATCCCCCAGTTGGTCCGCAAAGTCTCCTGCTGTTCTTCATTGATTCTCACGTAAGTGAGCCGCATGTTCACATTCACGTCAATTTCATTTGTGCGGAGGCACAAGAAAGATCATAGACACAGCATCCACCCAGTTCATAGACCGACTAAAACTACATGTCTTCCTAAGATACCGCATCCAGATACTCTCCTCTCCCTTCCCGTTTCGAAACCAGTATACAAGCTTCGCAAGTATGCTAGTTAACGTGAAACCGGTCAAACCCGCAGACATCGGGAGGAGGGAGAAAGAAAGTTTAACACTTTGGCCCACGCGTTCAGCTTCCCTCCCCCAGAAGAACGCCGAAGACAAGGACGATAAAACGAAAAAAAAAGCTCCTCACCAAGAGCTCAAAATGTACATAGTAGTACCCCGTGTGAAACTCCTCGCTATGCAGTTGTGTGGTACAGCGAAAGAAAAGCGTCCCTGGCAAAAGCGCGCAGGGACTTGGCAGTAAATAGCTGTCCGTACCGGCAAACAAAGACGTATGGGTGGGGGAACGAGCGAGCGCTGAATTCGCGCATCGTGTGCAAAACAGGTGATCCGCCGGAGACAAGGTACGGGAAATGGGGCAGAGAGAGCTTTTTTTCAAAAAAGAGAGCAAAAATCGTTGACGTGTCGGGCAAGGACCGTGCCGCGCGTCCATTAGCGAACAAGTGTCATGTTCGAGTACGGAAGTTGAGCGGGTTGGCTGAGCTGACGGCTGAGCATTCCCAACGACTTCGCCACGGACAGCCTAGGAACTATGCACTACATTGACGACAATGTTTTAGGATAGTATGGCGGAGTTGGAGTCTTTGGGGTTGAGTGCATGAGGAGTGTTGTGGGGGGCCCAGATGGGTCCAGGTTGCGCGGTGGCGTCACGACAACCAGGCTAAACGTTTAGGTTCAGATCCGGTGTGCTTGAGCAGAAATCAAGCTCCAAGTCGACGCTGAATGAGCTGCTGCAGCATCTTCAACTGCGCACGCTCGTCATCAGTGGGCGGTGGTGGGTCTGCGTTGGACATGGCGGTGATGACGGCCGGGGGAGCTTCGGACTGTTTCACGTGGATTAGCGCCGAGGATCAAAACAAGGCCGGTGGGCCACAGGTTGTCTTACAGTGAGACCGAGGATGAGCGCTTGAACTGTGCCCTCACCCAGGTTCATCTCTGGCGTCTTGTTTGCCAGCTGTGCCAGAGATAGTGCTGCTTGCTGCTGCTGGAAGTTGTGCGCAAGGAAATTTTGCATGGACGCTCTGCGCTGTGATGCAGCTTCTGCGGACTTGCGGGCTTCGGCCTTCTTGACTACACGGCCACTGCGATGTGTTAGTGACTAGTTCAATGAGCTGCTGATGTGACTTTGTATACCTCTTGACCTTGCTGACGAAGTCAAGGATGACTCCCTTCTCCGGAACACGGAAGACCTTGGAGTTGACATCCTTGGGATCGTTGTCACCAAACACATAATTGCCTTCGCCATCAGTGTCGTCGTCAGGATCGTTAGTGATATCGATCAAGCCATTGTTGCGCATGCCACGTGAAAAGGTGGGCTCGACATATTCGGGTTGCTTGCGCACTCGCACTCTGCGTGGCACCCGAGTTACCGGCGCGGCATCGGCCATTTCAGAATCCCCATCTTTGGAACTCAGGTCGTTCTGCAGCAGTAAACCGCTGCGAAGGTCATGTTCGATATGTCGAGGACACCTCCAGGCATCCCGCTGCGATGCCTCAAGGCTAATGTGTGGTGGGTTAGCGAGAGGCGGGTCGACGCAGTCCAAGTGCCAGTACGCGTGACAAAAGTCACACTTCAGCATTTGACGCTTGTGGCCGCTCGACACTCCGCACTGCGTGCATAAAATGACTTTGTGGTCAGCATCAATGAGTCTGGTGTATTCGGGCTTCTGGTAGCCATAGCCACTGTTCTTCGCTCTGTTGTGATGTTAGTGCCAAATCACGCGACAGAACGCGTCACACTTACAATGGAAACTTCTTGACCTCCTCAAAATACGAGCCGTCGGGACGTGCGGAAACGCCCTCGAAGTTATTTTGAATATCAGAAGGTAGAGCAAACGCGCGAGGATTTGTGCGCTCAAGCTTGCTGAAGAGGGGACCCAGGCTAGGATACGACTCTGCGGCATCGTCGGATGCAGCGAACTTCGTGTTGCACTCATAACAGTAGAACGCTCCATCTGGAACCTCTGTTCGCGGTGGATCGCAGCAGAGAAGGTGAAAGACGCGTGGACAGTTTTCGCAGCACACAAACTCGCCTGCGCCTCTACACGCAGAGCAGAAGTCGTCGCTCTCTGACTGTGGCGAGTTCTGACATTCTGTTAGAGGTGAAGAAAGGACAGAAAGTGGAGGAGAATATGGAAATTTGAGCGGCGTGATGTCTGTAGTGAGCAACATTGATGTTGGGGATGAAAAAGAGAAATTGTTGTTGATGAGTTGTGTGGTGGAAGAGGAATGGTGTGGTTGGATGCTTCGGGAATCCAGTGGCACTTACCGGGTCATTGTCATCAGGCCCCAACTGTCTCGAACCGCCACCACCAGTAAAGGCTACACCAGCAATAGGTCCTGCGTCTCGGTTTTTGACCGGCCTATACGTGTAACAGTTAGCCTTGTAATGATTTGATGACATGTACGGAATGTACGATGCAAACACGTGCAAACACGTAGAGCTTGCTCAGTCGACGCTTACAGCCCTGTGCTGAACCGGGTACATGCATCGACCAACGCCGAAAAATTGACAAGGATGCTGAAAAAATGAGCTGAGAATACTTACGATCGTTTTGTCCTGGCGCCCTGCCCGTTGGTGAGCTTGACCCGCTTAGGTGCCGGCCCCACTGCTGGCGTTGAAGGACGCGACGACATGGCAGGCTCAAACTGAGGTGAGGAGAAGCGTGACGGATCCTCTCGCAGGCGCTTGGTTCCATGATTTGGAACTCGTCCGGCGCGTCGTGGTTGATCAGAATCAACAGGTGGTCCCACGGCGATTTGAGAGTCGGTCAAAGACTCAGTCTCGAGAATCTCGTCATCAAAGCGAACATCAGAGACGGGAGGAGGGAATTGCTCGAACTTGCGAATAGGCTGCTGGTCCACCATAGCCTTTCGCATCTCATAGATTCGGTCATCTTCCGCTTGCTGTTCTGCGGTCGGTGGCTGCTGCTTGTAGGCATGCTTTCCAAAGAGCTTCCCGGCATTGCCTTTCATCTTTTTAGCAGCACGCGCAGCCGCAATATTCTTGCCCTTCTTGGGTGGCACGACAGGCGCAGGTGCAGCGGGTTTCCCATTGACCTGCACAGGCTCTGGAGGGCCTTTCTGGACTATCTCTTCGTTGACATCCGACAGCTCAGAATCGCTCCCACCGGTGTCCGGTGTCCTCGCTGCTGGAGTGGGTGCTCCGGTCGACAATCCTCCCTCCACATCCATTGCAGAATCCTGGGCCTGAGTTCCGTTGGTAGCGGTGCGTTTTCTGGGCGACTTGGACGGCTGTCTCGGCGTTGACTCATTTGAGGTATCCGCAGTGGCTGGAAGAGCGGGTGCGCTGCTGAATGGGTGAGGTGCTTGACCGGAATTTTGGTCAAGAGCTGATTGCAATGCTTTGTGCGAAAAGCTTGTAGCCGAATTAGTAGAGTCCATGAACTTTCGATCTTGGTAGTCGTTGACGGCGGAGGCAGAGTCATCAGGAACAATTTCACTACTAGCCCTAGGAGACGGCTGCTGACTGAAGAATGAAGCTCCGTGATTCATCGCGGATTGCTGGTCAAAGCGCCCGTTCTTGCCCAAACCCATCCTCGCCTTTTCCTCTTGCTTGAACTGCTTGATGAACCTGCGAAATCGGACCATCTGCGCATTGGTGCTGTTTCTTTGAATGACTGATTCGATCGCGTCTGCCAAGTTGGAATCGATTTTGCTCTGCTCGTAGGCGCGCCTCAAGGCGATGCCCACGTAGCGCTTGCCCGAGTTGCTGTTGGCTTTGGAAATCGCATCGTTGACCGCAATCTGAATGCGCTGTGTCGCAGCCTCAACTGGCTCCGACATAGAGACTGCCTGTACTGCCGGGCTCGCGGAAACCGAGGCGCTCTTGGTGTGACCGATTTTCGTTGTGGGCGTCTTGCCGTTGACGGGTGTCTTGCTCTGCACTGGGGTCTTGCCCCTGACGGGAGTTTTCGACACCTTCACTTTCTTCTTCGGTTTTGTCGCGGGCTCGTAGTCGTCGTCCTCGTCGTCTTCTAGGATTGGGAAGGCGGCCTGCATCTCTTCCTCCTCCTGCCGCTCCGAGTCGTCAGGCTCGAGCTCAGGAGCTGGAGTGACCTCTGGCGTCGACCCAACCTCGTCACCACCGAAACCCAAGCTCTTGCCCAATAGCGAATTTCGGGCAGCCGGCCCGTCGAGAGCGCGCGCGCGCTGCTTGTCCTTGGCCTTTGGAGGGACACCGAGGGGGGCCATATTCTCCAAGACGCCGTGCCGCGCAAACCCGTGCTCTTCGAACGATGGGGCCAGAGTTTGCGGTTGGGGTTCAGTCCACTCGGTAATTGAACGCTGCTTCTTCTCGTTGACGTGCTCGCTCGGGGTGCCGGTGGGTGAGGCGTAGGGCGTGGTGCTGGACCTTTGTTGCGATTTGAAGTCGCGCGACTCCCGGAGAGACTTGCGGAGGGCCGGCATGGCGAAACTACAGTTTGGTCAGCGCGCTATAATAATCACGAAGACGGTTAGACTTACTTCACGTGTTGTCCGAGAATTTACACGCCGCAATGCCGTGCCCGTCGTTGTGGGTCGGTAGTGCAGGAATGAGAGTTGCTGAAGGTTGTTCGAGGGTGCCCTGGACGCTTGGACGGACCTTCTTATTATGTCAGCCCCCTACGCATGCGCAAACATCGCCATGTCTTACTGTCGTCAGGAATGAGATATATGAATAGCCGGAAGCTTCTTCGATTGTCGGATTATTTTTTCAGTTCTGACAAAGGCGGGGTGCGGTGTTGGTGCAACGATACCAAAGAATCCACGATCTCTTGTCCGCTTTTTCCCTGACGTGCCCAAGTTCACCTTCACCAATCGCCACTTGCGGATCTGGTCGTACAATACGTGGGCGCGCGCCTGAATAGAGATGATATTATTGACATTGTTCCTGACTTCACTTCGATAAATCTCTATAGCACAATCCTGTCTTTGCATGATCTACTCAGGGGTAAATTCTGTTCCATGCTTTACCTCACTCTACACCATGCTTGGCTATCCGCGCAGAGCACCATAGCTTTCGTGTGCCGTAGCGAACAACATAGCCATGGATCTCTTGTAGCTTCTCTCCATTTGCCATGTTCGGCGTTTGGGGGGGACAATAACATGACGGGTGGACAAGATAAACCGAAGACAAGAACAATGACGCGAAGCCGCCCAACATCCGCTCCGCCCTTCACCATAGATACATCGAAAACAAAAAGCCCCTTCTGCATTGACAGCCATTGATGGCGCGTCCACGGTCGCTTGAACATAAGGGAAATGAAGCTGTGTTCGACTGTCAAAGACTCCCCAGACCACCTGGTACGATCGCAGTCCGTGAGCCGTCCGTAACTCCTTGAATGCGCGTGTGTTAGCTATCAGATTCTACATTAGTCAATATCACGCATACGAAGCGAAAAATGCTGGCCGGTAAATAGGTGTCTGTTTTTTTTTGGGTTTGTTATCGCTTCTACTTGATCAAGTGCACGAGCACAAGACAAAGCGCATCAGACCTGAGTCTTTTGCCGATTTTCTTTCCGATCCTGCCGTTTTCTGCAGTCACCAAAAAGGTCCGTGTCATCCAGGCTCATAGTCGAGAGGCGGGTATGGCGTCAAGGTCTCCGCAAGCTGCGTCTACTCCTCGTCGTCACTCTCCTCCTCTTCGGCAGGAGCAGCACCGCCGTCAGCGGCCTTCTTGGCGGGCTTCTTCTTCTTCTTCTTGTTCTTCTTTGTCGAAGTCTTTCCAATGGGCTGTTCGAGAATCTTGAGGATCTCCTCGTCCTCAATCTTCTTGTCAGACTTGTACTTGGAGGTGTCGATGGCAGTGGGTTGAGCCAGACGCTGCATGCCGTTCTTGGTGATCGCTGTTAATACGTTAGCTATTGAAGCAAGTCTCATGATCCTTCGAAATCAAGCAAACGAAGGTGGGAATATGGAGATCGAGCAATCGACCACATCGGCCAATATCGGGCATCTCCGTGCACAGACAGAGCAGGGGAAATCCTCGGACTTACCAACAGTGCTGAACAACCTAGCTACGGGCTGGTTGTCTTTGTCAACGACAACTTCGTACTGGCGGAGCACACCTGTGCGGACACATTCGACGACACCAACCTTGGCAGCCTTCTCGTCCTCAAGCTGGCGCAGACTGAAGGGGAAGGTGCCGAACTTCTTGACAACTTCAGACAACAGGCTTCGCGAGGTAGGGCGCTTGAGCTGGTAGGTGGTGGCTGTACGTCGGTGCAGAGTGGTCCTGTTGCTGTTGCTCTTGACCTTGCCGCTTCCGAGACTGACACCCATCTCAACACCCCACACTTCGCCGACCTCAGGGAGACCCTCTCCTCTGACACCCTCGCCGGGCGCAAGAATGATCTTCTTCTTGGACTCGATCTCGTTGTGGTCGAATTGCCAGATGGTGGTGCTCTCGACGAGGTTGCAGCCATACGCCTTGACAACCTTCTCAAGCATGTTGGTCATTTGGCTCTGGGTGTAGGCCTTCTTTGACGCAGCCTTCTTTTGCTCCTCCTCGTCGCCGTGGGGAACCAAGCCTGGGGGTACCATCAACCTCAGCAGAAGCTCGTTCGCGTAGTGTGTAGCCAGAATGAGATCTGCCTCCCGTCCGGTGACCTCGTCGGCAGCTCCGACAATGACATTGTCGCAAACGATCGCGCAGAAGCCATCGATCTGGGCACCTAGCTGGATCTTGACAACCTCTCCCTCCTTCAGTGTCACGGCGGCTTCCTCGGCATCGGTCTTGAGTGGTGTGTACGGGGTGATGTAGGCGCTCGGCGAGATGGTGGTGCAGTGTCCAATGCCCTTGAGGACCTTCTTGCCCTTGTAGACCTTGGCGACCTCCTCGTCTAGGAGCTTGTCGCCGCGCTCACAGAGCTCGACAATGCTGGTATCAGCGGCGATCCATCCTGGACTGGTCAGTTTATGCTCGTGTTTACGCGCGGGAAACGAGCGCAGGTGTGGGGAGCGTCGTACCGGAGACCTCCTTGAGGACTTTCTGGGAGATGTCGGCGGCGACCTTGTACTTGGTGATAGTATCTGGGTTCGCCAGAGTGTAGTCTGCAATATGCGTTAGCTTCTGCGACTCATTGCCAGCACAAAACTGAGGTCGAAGCTCTTTTCGTCTGAATAGCTTCTCATGTCGATGGCATTAATAGCGAGCAAGGATCGAGCTTACCGACAGCTGCTGTTTCGGCCATCTTGAGTATAGTTGAGTGTGGGAAGATGGTCTAGGAGCTAGAATTGGAGTGGTGCGCGAGGTCGTTCCTGTGTTCAGACCAGCCCCTCAGTGGGGTGCTTTCGAGCTTTCGCTTAGCCAGAGCCCAATGACGATGATCGCCTGACAACGTCACACTCGACCTGCTTTGCTTGTTCCTGAATTAATTACCTTGAGTATGGAAATTGGACTTGTGATCATTTGAGTCCCAGTTTTGAGCTCGTATTTGTGGCCTAAGTTGGCGTTTCCATCATTGCAGTGCAACTTCACTGCGGATATGCTGCTATATGTATGCCACGCTGCTGACAGCTTCGACAGCGTGCCATCAGCTGCCAGACATTTGATGACATCGAATATAGTGTTCCTGGCAAATGAACAGATCCATACTATTGAACTCGTATCATGTTATCCCCACTCTTATGATGTATTTCGCATTCCCAAAAAATCTTTACAGAGCAAGCGCAGTTTTCCGCAAATCTATGGGTATTTTATCGATACGGAATTGCTTTCATGATATACCTAGGTAAGATCATAGTGTCATCTCCACAGACATCTCCCTCTCCCTCTTTAAACCTGCAAAACCCCATCCACAACCACCGCGCGATGATCACTGGCATAAACCCCATCTTCAAACCGATTCGGCAACACACTATACCCCTCAACACCCCAATCTCCCTCTCCCCTCGGTCCCACAAACACAAAGTCAATCAGCGCCTTGTCCACATCATCGAAAGCCGTATACGTATTCTCATCACCATACAGCCACTTAGCCTGCTCCTTCGTATCTTGCAGGAGAGACGACGCATTATTCAGCATCATGTACGCATCATCCGTAATCTCAGAGTTGAGGTCGCCAGCCAGGAAGAAAGGTAGACCAGTAGACGAGTAGTTTGACGCCGGGAAAGCGATATCCGCAGCAATTCCTTCGATAATCTTCGCAGATTCGCGGCGCGAGATGGCGCCCGAGTTGTCGAAATGCGTTGACATGGCTACTATTTCCTTCTTGCTTGTCATGTGCTTGAACGTGCCGATGGTCACGATGCGAACCGAGCCTGCGTCCCAGCCTTTCTTTCCAACGGCGCCGTCTTCGTTTAGCCAGACGGTCTTCCAGGTCACAAGTTCCCAGACGGCTGGGCGGTAGATGACGGGGCTGTATTCGCCTTCGGTTTTGCCGTCGTCGCGACCGACGCCGATGTAGGCCCATTCGTTGCCGAGACCGGCCATTATGTCGACGATTTGCTCGTTGAGCACTTCTTGTAGACAGATGAAGGCTTCGGGGTTGTGGAGAGTGTTGTAGTGCAGCTCGTTGAGGATCAGTTGTTTCCGTGTTGACCAGGGCTTCTCGCCTGTGGCGGGTGGATCGGCGGCATAACGGATGTTGTGGGTTAAGATTCGGATTGGGAGAGTAGCAGCTTGTGCTTTCATGATGAAGGCAAGCAGGGTGGTGACAAGAAGCGCTGCGTTGAGCATCATGACGACAGGCTACTAGGTAGGTATTACCGGAACCGAACACGTGACGGAGTGAAGCGGGGACGATGTTCTCTCTGGCAACGACTGCGAAGAAGGCTTGCGGTAAGGAGATGAACAGAGGTCTTCACAGTATCGAGAGATGGCACTTGCACGGCCTTGATATGAACAACTGTAATTGACGCCTACCTACATCGCTGCGTCGAAGACTACCAACCCTACTTATACTTTACAAACGACACCAGCAACTAAGAGAAGAAGGAAGGTACTCAAAATAGTGCCGCATAATGACGAAGGCTTCAAACTATGCCAATCCTCCGTGTTATAATCCAAGAGGGGCCCAAATTTCCGAGTTGTAGCCGACAAATGAGAACGCCGATAGACAAGCACGTTGTCCGCATGCGCAACTCCACGTGATCCGCTGTTTTTACACGGGCTTCTATACCCTGGATGCGCTTGCCAATATGAAAAAGACCCCGCTATGCTTATCTGAATATCATTTCCTGTTTGCGCAGACAGGCAATCTGAATGCTAAGCCTACAATGGCTGACCAGTCCGTTTGCGCACGTTCTCCATGTGTACGCGGTTCTTCAGATGTAATTCAAAATTATTGACCGTTTGTTCGGGCCCAGCGTTGTACAGCTTTCCTGGGCAGTCTATGCATCGGATTCGCGGGAGGAAGTACGCTTTGTGGTTCGCTGGCAGAGGAGCGGTTGGAGATAGTGTATCTAGCTTGACTTGTCTGGACACCATCTCGCCAGTCTTTGGGTCCTCGTGGCGCTCGTTCATGACTGCGTAGCGCATGGTAGATTCGAAGAGCTCCCCAGGATTCTTATCGCGTAGGTCTTGAAGCGCTTTTTGGAGCCATGGGGGAGTGGGAGGCTAGTATGGGTCAGATATGACTACACGGAAGCAAGGAGAGATCTTACATGTTGTGAAGTGGCGGGCGTTGGCCAAGGTGCTTCCAACGAGCCATCCGGCTTGTAATTCCATTGCTTGTTCGGTGTCGTTGGTGTGGGTGTGGAAGGTGGCTTCGGCGAAGCTTCAACGGATGTCGGTACTGTCGGTGTGGAGCGGGAAGGCATGGCGGGTGACGGTGGAGGAGGCATCGAGTTTGCGGTAGGCGTACCCCGCGTTGGTGGTTGCGAGAGTGTCATCATGGGAGTTCCAGCGGGCTTTACAAAAGCTCTTGGGTTCCTTACCCATTCCCTGAACTTTGCGGGCGTTATGCGGAGTTTGACTATTAGTGATGTGGGTTCAGATACGCTCTCTTCCCGCGCTTCATACCGTAGGGACCTCGACGCCCTTGGCTCGTGATGGGGTGTTTGGATATTCGAGACTTCGGGAGTTGCTGATCTTCCAATGGCGGATCGCATCGCAGCTTGAGCAGCAGTAGCAGCTCCGCGCATACCACGGGTACGAGCAGTGCCTCCAGTCATCAATTGCGCAGGTGCGGGAGACTCCATGACTGAATCATCACTATCTGAGTCGTCTGAGCTGCCATCAGCACCGCGACGACGGCCTTCTCTGGCTTTGCGCGTGGCCTTGAAGAGTTGACTGTCCTCAATCGTTTCCGCAGCGCCAGGCAGCACTGATGAAACGACCAACGTCCGAACAGTCCGTTGGCGGTCTTTGAGGTCTGGCAGGGCAGGGCCACCGCGTCTGTTGACGGAACGCTTCTGGCGTCGCTGTTCGCGCATGATTGAAAGTTCGGCTCGCTCCAGGTCCGCATTGCTGAGTTCGTAAAGGTAGGGTTGGTAGTCCTTTGTTGACTGCATCGGGCGGAATACGGAGGGAAGTGGTGATGCCAGGAAGTTGTCTTGTATGTCTGTATCTTCGACTGGTCGCCCGTCGAAGGGATGTCCTGTGATGTAAAGACTTTTTGTGAACATCTGGCACTGCTCTCTTATGGAATGTGCGATTGCGGTTGTGAACTCTCCGGATAGTGACAAGTCGGCGGCCATCTGTCTCGCAAACTCCTCAGGCGCATTCAGAGGGTTGTTGATCTCCCACTCAAACTGGTCTACGAGGGTGTGCTGGCCAATCGTAATGTTCAGTTTGATCAATATCCGCATCTCGTCGTTCTTGTATGCCGAGTATGGCTGATGTGGATCCAGTGGCTCGTCGTCGAAGAAGGCGTGGGGGTAGTAGTCTTGTACCTGCTCGTGAATTTCGCGATCGATTTGCTGCATTACGTTCTGGCGCAGTTCGGGCGGTATTTGGAAGTCTTCGACGAGGGTTTGGGCGAAGAGCACGGGGTTGGTAACGCGGTCGTGGAGGTTCCAGGTAAAAGTATCGCGAAGCTTCAGTCTATCCAATTCGATATCCAAGCGCACAGGTACAAGCTCCTCAATCTGGTCTGCTTGCTGGAGCCCCTTCTCTTTCGAAACCTTGAGCTGCGGTGCGAGTCGACGGCCAGCGCGCTTGGCATTCTCAGGGTATAGCAGCTTGGTTTGCGGTAGGGCGCGCGGGTCTCTGGGGTCGGGGGGTATCTCGGTCAGGCCGTTGCCGTAGCCAGCGTAGCCATATCCAAAGATGGCGCCGGGGTTCTGTCGTCGGACCGGATATACTTCGTCGCGGTAGAAATGGCGCAGGTCGTTGAGTTCGCCATACACCTTCTCGGAATGTTTGTTGCGCTCGTACTTGTTTACGCTATCCAAGAGGTCGCGCTCGATGTAGCGGTTGAGGAGATGCGTCTGCGAGGCTGTGGGTTTCGCGCCGTCGTCGTGGGAAGGCGTGTGTGATGACTTGCGGGTGCCCGAACGCGATCGCTTTCTGCTGGGCGACGCGCCGTTGATGGCTTCGGGTTGCGCGGGCGATGCCATGTCGCCTTGCGCGCCGGCGAGGTTCAGACCAGAGGCGGCCATGACGGCCTTGGCTTTCTGCTTGCCGTCTCGGATCGCGTTGTTGTCGTTGGACGCGCCGTCGGGTCCATTGATGCTGGTCGGGGCGTTGGCGGGCTGGACAGCACCTTCACTGTTGATGCCGTTGGTGGACGCGCCGTGGGCGGGATCGAGGGACTGAGAGTCGGCTAGCGGCGGGGAGGGCATCGCGTGGGAACTGTGGATGCGCGCAGCAGGAGCGACCTGCGTGTTGCTGCCCTGGTTAGAGCCGAGGCATGGAGGCTGGAAGGAGTGATGGAGGCTCGAGTGGGTCAATGGGCGTCCCAAGCGGTCGCGCCTGCCAGAAGAAGGGGGCGGACGTGCGATGCGATGGCGACAGCAACACCCGCGCCGCCATCTCCAGAAAGCGCATGCATCGCGCCGCGATCACGCGAATAAATAGCAGCAATAGAAAAAACACATACCTTTGGGAGCATGCAATTTGCGCGTCGTCACAGGTCACAGGGCTGGGCTGGGCCTCTGTTTGGCTGTCCAGGGAAAGAAGTGCCGATCGGGTAGTCAAGCGCGCAGCAGCCCGTCTGTAAGCCTTTCACAGGCGAGAGTATTGGCAGGAAACCTAAATCGGCGAAACACCTGCTGCGGTACCTTGGGCGGGGTCGCGGCCGTGGATAAGCTCGGAATGATGTGTTGTGTGTCAGGCAGAGGCATTGATGGATTTGCGCCTCGCTCCCACTTCCCGCCGCTTGCGAGCGCCGAGCCAGCCAGCCCATGACCACACTGAAGCTCGTCGGCACGCTCCCACGCACCCAGCGTCTCTGCCCGGCGTGGTTCTTTTCACGAAAGCAGAGGCCATGCTCTCCCGACTGTTCCACATAATTACACCTGCACTCCATCGTCTCCACGCAGCCCATCACGTGTGACGCCATGACGAATGCTAGCGCCTACCTAGACCGGTAAGCTCAGAGGAAAAGCCACTCGTGTAATGCGGTGGACCTTGTTCGTTATCGAATAAAGGTTGTATTTTATGGAAAGACCCGCCTAGTAGAAGAAGATAAGAAGCGTCTGGTAGTACACCTCGTCACCGCACTCTGACGCCCTCGCCTCCAGATCCATCCTAGTTGCATCAATGCTAGAAACTGACAATACCTAAACATTTCCATCCAGTCCCGGCCCGGACACGCCGCCGCTTACAAGTTCGCCGGCTATATGCGTCTGCTTTGCTTGCGATAGATACTCAAACGTGCAGGTTCGCTGCTGAGACGTGCGCTCCCCTGTTGCTCAGTAATATCGCTGCTCTCGGTGTATTTCTTCCGCTCAAAGCAGTGAGTCAAGTCGAGTGAACACACTCAAGCACGCTGCGACAACCTGTTGTGACATGATTAGCGCTCTGTCAAATAAAGGAAAAGCTAAAGTCCGATTGACTTACCTCAAGCTGAAGCTCCTTATCCTTGGAACCGTTAACTTCGTCCGTGATGAGCTGACCCAAGTTTGCGCCCACACCCTGCGAGCCACCCTGCCTCTTTGCAAACGGCCACTGCGAATATTCTGCCAGCAGCTCGTCCACTTGAGCAAAAGCTCGTTCCCGCGCTTCGTGACCCAGCGTTGTCAGGGCATTCTCGAGGACGTTGGCGGCATAGGCGGTGCAGACCATGGTGATTGTTCGGAGCACTCTGAATTCCAACTCCTCGGGGAGGAATTGACTGCCGGGGAGGACGACGGTGCGGTTGGTGAGGACGTTCCGAACTCTGCGTCGAATCTCCTCCTTTGCGCCGCCGTCTGCGACGGGATGTGTAGCCATGTCGAACAGGAGGAAGTTCTTCTTCTCGGTGCGCAGGATGCCCTTGTCGACGAGGCCTTTGCATAGTCGTTCGCGTACTTGTTTTAGTTGGTAGCCAATCTTCATGAGGTTCCACGTCTCTCCTGTGTGTGTAGTTAGTACCGAGCATCAGCATTGGGATTGCGCGCCGCAGACGTACCGCTCATGAGGTCGATCCACGAGTTGACGCTCATCTTCTCGCTCGACTTCATCATCTTGAGGGCCTCGTCCAGCAGAACCTCTCCGGTCAACGTGTCGTCAATAACCTCGATGACCCGGTCTGCGAGGGGGAACCGTCGCCGATTCGAGTCCTTTTGCATGCTCACGCGGCCTCGGAAGGCCAATTCTATGACAATGCAGCCTCGCAATGCATACGAGATGTTGTCGTTCCAGAACGACAGGTATCCCTATTCTCACTCATCAGCCTGCTGCCCCTAGCCCACCAGCGCCCTGCCGTGTACACACCTGTTTGTCCTTCAGCCCCATGAGGATGATTTCCTCCATGAGTGTCAGCTTGGGCTGTTTGCTCCTCTCTGCATTTTCGCTGATGTCTCGGGGGTCGAATGCGATCTTGTGGCCATTCTCGGAGCTTTCGTAGGAGGTTTCGGGGGTGCGGTCGTCGTTGCGCTTGGGTGCTGGCGAGCTGACCCGGCTGCTCTCGTCCTCGCCGTTGCCAGCAGCGCCGCCGCCTCCTCTCCGGCGCGTCAGACCAGAGCTAGAAGCCATCAGGTGTGGTTGTGGAACGGGAGGGGGGTCTTGTTGAAATTATGCGTGATGCTCCTCAACGGGCGCAGGGATGAGGGCGCTTGGGCTGCGCATGCGCGGTGTCGGACTATGTGGGACTTTCGGTGAGTTCGATGTAGGAGAGAGTAGCGGGCACGGCGATGTAAAGAATAAGGGGTATCGCAAGGCGCCTGTGTGAGTTACGCGTTGGGGGTTGATTCTCGTGCCACATCAATCAGCGGACAGGGTGTCGGTCTCGGATGTGCCAAGATTAGTTACGCACGCTTCGGAGATCAAGTAAACAGGCGTCCAACAACACAATAGCCAAAGCACTGGGAGGTGGATAGCGTCAATTCTATCAGAAGTACACGGTGCCGACCCAGGCGACTGTTTTACACGGGGGCATATATATAGCGATGCCGGTAGGACCGACTCTCAATTCCACATCCATCATCTCCAATCCAGCGCGGCTCTCCAATATAATCTAGTGAGCTGCGATGTGTTAGTTTGGGGCAACTTCGGGATTTTCAAGTTGCGACTCACCATCGGGCTGGGCCATGATGTAGTCCACTGCTTGCTTGACTGTGATATCATCAGTATGTATATCTCCGACCCTGCATCTGAACGTACCGCTGTGGATGGCATCGGCCTCCTTGTCGGGGATCTCAATGCTGAATTCCTGCCTCACTGTCAGATTTGCCTTCCGTGTATCGTACGCGGACCGACTTACCTCCTCAATCGCCATGACCACCTCTACGGTATCCAGACTGTCGAGACCGAGGTCGTTGTGGAAGTGCGATTCGGCGTTCAGCTGCAAAATGTAAGCCTTTGTCTCCAATCCCTCACGCGCGGTTGGTAGCTACCTTGGAGGCATCGGTGACCTGCTTCTGCGTTAGCCACTTTCTAAAATTCCCGTCGCATAACCATTACCTTGTCGAAATTCTTCAAAAGGTCCATTATCCTGCCGGTGACCTCATCTTTTGACAGACCGGCGCTCGCGGCGTAGCATCGTACGGCCTGGAAGTATACGGAGGGGTTCATTTGCTTTGGCTGGACGAAGGAGCTTCGCGCAACGGGGCGAGCCATTGCGGCCTGGCATCGTGGGGCAGCGCGGACGGCGGACCGGGCGGACCTGAGGAGTGCTGTTCGGAACATGGTGGACGGTTTAGGAGGGTGTCGTGCGAGGTAGCAAGGTCGGTGGTGGTGGTGATGTTGATGCTCGACTAGAACTTCAGACTAAAGTTACATTACGTTAGTCAGCCGTCAAGAGCATTTCCGTACGAGTGAACAGGCGCACCTTGACTTATCGCAACAGGTAACACGGATATCCGAGAAAGACCTGGAAATCATTCATATACCCTGCTACATCACCTGAGTCAAATTTCTGACCTCGGAGTTGCCTCCCACCGTTGTTGCCGTCATTTGACTTGTCGGCCAATCGCAGCCTCCGCGTTACAAGCGACGACCTCAAGTTTCGAGCTTGACGACAACCTCAATATCCGCCAGCAACCCCCCAACCCGCCAGCGACCCCACCACGCTCACAATGGCCAGCGCAAAGCCATTGACAATGTTGGCACGCAGCCGCCCAGCTGCCACGCTGCTCCGGTCACCACAGTTCGCGTCTGGACGCCTCCCCTCGCCCGCCACCGTCGCCTTCTTCTCTACCACCCTATCCCGAGCCGCCACCCCAGCAGGACCCCCGCCGCCAGGCTTCCGGTTACCCAAGCCCAAGCGATGGGATGAAGGAGAAGGTGCATTGGACCGCGCCGGCAAGTACTTCTTGCTCATGGAGATGTTCCGTGGCATGTATGTGTCGCTGGAGCAGTTTTTCCGCCCACCGTGAGTACTCCAATGAGCAGACTGCTCGTTTGCCACTTGTTCGCAATACGGTAATCTGACGTTTCTGAAGATACACCATCTTCTACCCATTCGAGAAGGGCCCTATCTCGCCCCGCTTCCGAGGCGAACACGCCCTGCGACGGTACCCTACCGGTGAGGAGCGTTGCATTGCTTGCAAGCTCTGCGAGGCCATCTGCCCTGCGCAAGCCATCACAATCGAGGCCGAAGAGCGCATGGACGGTAGCAGGAGGACCACACGTTATGATATCGACATGACCAAGTGCATCTACTGCGGTCTCTGCCAGGAGAGCTGCCCAGTCGATGCCATTGTTGAGGGTATGTCGACACGCTCTCTGAGTACGCGGACCAAGTGCTAATTTGATACAGGACCCAATGCCGAGTATGCGACTGAGACCCGCGAGGAGCTACTTTACAACAAGGAGAAGTTGCTAGCAAACGGAGACAAGTGGGAGCCCGAGATTGCCGCAGCTGCTCGCGCGGATGCGCCTTACAGATAATGGACGGGAGCGATTTGGAATTACTGTACATATAAGGAGCGGTTGCGTCTGACACAGCCAGTCAGATTTCTTTTGTCAATGCATCAGTAAACAATACCAAGCTCACTGAGTCCGTGTTCAAGAAGACACTGAGAAACATGGAAATGACGGACGTGCTAGTGTGTTGGGGTCCAACTAGATGCATTACTATTGATTTGCAAGACAGCTTTGGCATTGAACAAACATTCTCGAGAGAAGACAACCTAATATTCAAGATCATAATACTCCTAACGCTCATACGATGCCTGCCATGATATGGTATCAAACGCCAAATGCCTGCCTATAGTATGCATGCCGCCACCCTTTCCTTTTATATACCTTGATTCCGCCCAGCCTCATGATCATCTCGCCTTGAATGTGCCTTCAAAGCCCGGTCGCTTGACCTTCTTGCCAGGCTTCTTGACCTTCTTTTTGCCCTTTTGACCCTTGTCCTCCTTGCGCTTCTTGAGATTCTCCTCCCTCTTCTTCTGTCTCGCGGCCTTTCCTTGGTCAACGTTCGTGAGCCTCTCCTTCCACTCTTGCTTGCTCTTGTCCTTTTGTTTTTGTTGACGCTTCAAGCTCTTCTTCAGAAGATTGACGTCGTCAAAGACCTTCTCACCCTGTGCCCTCTTCTTGGCGGCCAGCCATAGATCTTTCTCTTGAATGTCCTTGCGCTTGTCCTCGTCGAAGGCGTTAATGCGAGCCTGTTTCTTCTGCGCAGCCTCTAGTGCTGTCTTCGCATCTGACTTGCCCTTCTTCTTCTTGGAGTCGAGGAATCCAGAGAGATTGCTCTCAAGCTGTTGGCCGTCCCATGCGATCTTGCCAAAGTTGAAGTTGCGCTCAGTCTCCGGCGACCTCGCTGGGAATACAGAAGGTGAGCCCGAACCGCCTCTTATCCGTGCGAGCTGTTCCTCTGCTTGCTGTCGCGCCTCATCCTCTTTCGCATCCTGACGCATGGCCTTCTTCGCGGCCTTCTTTTCGGCTTCCTTCTTCCTGCGCGCCTCGATCAGCTCTGCTCGGTTGCGTGCAGGGCGTCCATCTGGGCCGTCAGCCTTTCGCGCCGCGCGCATGGCCTCTAGTTTCGCGTTCAACCGAGCGCGGAAATCCTCATGTTTCTGTGGATCGATCGTGTATGGCTTTTTAGCCTTCTTCTGTGGCGCTTCCTCACCGGACTGGGGTAGTGAAGAATTTGACGAAGCGGCGGAGGCGACGGAGGCTGTGGAGGAGTTGGAATTGGCAGTAGTGGAGGGAGCAGTAGACTGACCCTCTTCGACGAGACCGGAGACGTCCAAGGCCTCTATGCGTTCGTCTGGATGTTCGAGTTCGTCTGCAGACGCGTCGTCTTCTTCATCTTCATCCTCGTCCTCGTCATCGTCCTTTTCAGACTTTTCGGCGGCGAGACCTTGGAACTGCGTTGGTAGCGCTTTCTTCGCTTCCAGCTTTTGCTTGTTCTTGGCCTGCTTCTCCTTCCTCTTTTCTCTCCGCTTCTCTGCTTTCGCCGCGTGCTTGGCCTCCGCCTTGGACAAAGTGACTTCTTCGGTCTCTTCTTCGGCTTCTGGCTCAACAGGCTGTGTCTTTTGCTTCTTTGCCTTGCTCTTGATGCCCTCAAGAGGCTTCTCCTTTGTGATGTCCATGTCAAGATCGGACGACTCGGGCTCGGAAACCTCTTCACCCTCCAATTCACGCTTCCGTTTTAGCGCGTTCTCGTCCATGACGTCTTTGGCGCTCTTGTGGGAGGCAGGATCCAGCTTCGCTCGCTTGGCTGCTTGTCGTTCTTCGAGAGTCTGCTTCTTGCCTTTCTTTTGCCATTGCGTCTGCGAACTTCATGTCAGCACAAGGCGGATGCCTGAGGTGAAGAGATGCATACGCTGGTGATGCTCTCATCCTTGCCATAGTAGTCTTTGGCGGGTATCAGAGACATGAGTCCCTCGAAGGCACGAGCATGGCTCTTTAGACGCTCCTACAGCTCTCAGTTAGCGGCGAGAGCAGGCGACAGGAGGCGGGCCCGGTGCATACCTCGAGATTGTCGCCCATTGCGAGGACAACAGACGCAGAATCCTTTTCGTAATGTGATATGTCCTGATTCAGACGGGTAGAGGGCGCAGAGTTGGCGGGGCGAGCGTGTCGTGTGCGGGTCGCGAAAATCGAGGTCAAAACGAAAGCCAAGATTTCGAGCAGACTTTCAGCGCTAGGGCCCTTCCAAGATCAGACCCACCCGCCAATAGACCCTCGCCGCCCCAGCCACCGACCAGTTTGGCTTAACGCGAAGCAGACTCGCGTGCTCCTTCACCAGCATCAGCCTCGCTGCCGGCAGGGCGCCGCGAGTCCATGGATGATGCGCGTCTGTCAGATCCGCTTGCCTCTCGCGCTTCACAACGATAGGCCAAGACAATTCATTTGTTGTACATGATAGTCGGTGGAGACGCGTACGCACAGCCACCCGAGCCCAAGCACAACCTCGCCGTCGTCGCCTTGTATATATCCTAGGCAACGCCCTGCTGGCAATCACCTGACAACTCCATATACTCAGCGCTATCCCACATATCAAAACTGCTAACACCTTCGCTCTAATGGCTACGCCGATCATCGAAGCCAGATCTCTTTCATCGCTTACCGCTCTTGCCTCAAATCCACCAGCTTACCCAAGGAATCCTACTCATGAGAGGCATGACCCGCTAGTACTGTACATCGCCCGTGTTCCTGGCAGCAGAGGTACGGCTGTCAACATGTCTTCTCCTACAGTATACCTAACGTGCTTCAGATGTCTTCTTATCTCCGATGAAGCCGCGGGAAAAGGTGGTGACCGCAGAAGACATACAAAGCTCACTCTATTTCGTCCACGTTGAGCAACCAGAAGATGCTTACCTTGTCGACCCTCCTGGATTCCAAGATCCAGATTATGCGCAAGAGAGCCAATCGTCTTCTAATCCCGTCTCTGCGCCTATCGTCCCAAGGAAAGCAGTACCCGGCATAAACACAGCTCCCATACGGAAGCCCGTTCCTAGCCCTCTGGCGCCTATCAATAATTACTCCAACAACCAGAACACTGATGCAGGCAACTATGCACGGAGATCTGCAATGCTCGCCCCAGAGTATAGCCACAGCCCACGACGCTCATTCGATGCAAGCCAGTACCAACAGGAAAACCGAAGACCGACAGCTTCCCCACGTAGACGATCGGAGAACCCGTCACGCTCCAGTGCATCGCTCACCCTTATCCGGCGAGATCCCGCATCTGGAGCGCAATGGAATGTTGCTCGCATCGAGGATCCACCTGTCCTAGATGTCTCGTCGACATTGAATGATCCTGGCATTAAGAAGAAGTTAGGAGCACCGATGTATATCGAAGTTTTCAATCCTGGCTACTCCAAGTTTCTGCATTCCGACACCACTGACAAGCCCCCTTTAACAACACGGGATAGTGGCATGTCCATCCAGTCACCTAACGTAGGGTCAGAACAGCAGACGGGGGCTCATCTGTCTACGAACGAGAACGTGTTCCGTCGACGCATATGGATGGAAGGATCGCAGCATATAGGCGGCTTTGGACATCGGAAGCTTAATTCGTATGACTACGATACCGGACGTCCTGACTCAAGGGGGAGCTATCACGCGCAGGCCAACTCTACGTCGACAGACATGAGACCATCTCCGACCCCTCCGTTTGTGACTAGGCAAGACCAGTCATATGCTAGCATCCAGGTCTCGGATAGGCAAACCAGTTTTCGTGGTTATGTGTTTACGAGTCCGTGGAACGGACGATGTGAATTCACCACCGGAGTAGGCGGGGGATCTTTGAAGGTAATACCATTCCTGCCACAGTTATGATCAATGGAGGATGCTAAATATCCCGCAGTGTCGACACGTTGTCCCAGGGCTTCAAGGAGCGCCGCCTACAGCCATGACAGTCAGTGAGCTAAGATTCAACCTCCCGAGTAGTCCCAAACCCACTACACCCAGAGGCGAAGAAGGCTCAAAACGCTCGTCATTCTTTCGGAAAGCACGGCACAGTCGCAACAATTCCTCTTTATCAGTCAGTCGCGATGACACCACCGAAGACGCTAGAAGTTCGTTGGATCGCTTAGATCTTTCTTTAGGTCAGGAGTTCGCAGGTGGTGGTTTTGGTGGTAAGCAAGCGAAGTTGGGGAAGATAATCCTGGAAGATGAAGGCTTGAAGATGATGGACTTACTAGTCGCGGCGAATCTGGGATTATGGTGGAGAGCCTACGAGAAAGCGCTTGTAAGTGGGGGTACTACAGATACTATACAATGAGCTGGCGACGACAGAAACTATGTTGGAGCATAGGATTCTCATAGTGCAAGCCCGGTGTCACCTTTGGGAGGGTAATTGTCGTGGTGTTTCTCCTAGTTTCAAATGGGTCCGAGACGACACTGCCTATTGCGATATGCCATGTGAGGTATCAGACGATATGTATAGTGAAAGAGCCATCTGACAGCACTGACCACGTAGCATCGAGCAGTCACTTTAAGCGTCTATATATGTTCTAGAGCTGACTTGGTCATGCTGGTGACTTTTCACGGCTGCTTTCCATAACCTATAAAGGCAGATTGACGGTAACCACTCCCCTTATTCACCAGTCTACTTGCGCGCACCCCTCTTGAGACCCTTTTTAGAACCAGCCTCTGACTTTCGCATCTCCACTTCAACAGAGGTCCTTGATCGCAATCACACCGCCACACACGTTGAACGTAGCAGAGACACCAAGTCGATCAGCTTAAAAGTCAAGGATGGCACGTCCTACGAAGGCGAGTGTGCCCAAGACGTCGTCCTTGTCCGCTGAACACGGACGACGTAAGACTCGCAACAGTGCCCAGACTTCCCTAGTACTGGCTGAGCTGGAGAACGACGTCTCTATGGAACCGGAGCAAGAATCAGAAGATGCTAATATGGCTCCACCACCGCAGCTACCCAGGAAGCGCGGCGTCACTGCTCGTACAAGGTCCAGCGCATCGCAAGAAGAGGAGGAAGACATGCTCGACAACATAATTCTCGCTCTACCGATCTCAAAGCCAAAGCAGAAATCGAAACCCAACCTGCCCCTCAAAACACCTGGCGAATCCGACCATGTCGTACTCAAAGATGAGGCTGATTGCAGTAATTTCCTCACTAAGGCTGATGGATCCGAAGAGTATCTGCGGGACATGAAAATTCTAGAGGTTCATCTCGATACAACTAAACTGTTCGGATATACGGAGGACCGTTTCGCAATGGCGTTCAACAAGCTACACCCTCGGGGCGACAACGCTACCAATCCTCAGGACTTACAAACCCTTCGTCTAGTCATAAAAGGCAATATTCTCCTCACTCGTTACAGCTACCATCTCATATCGCCATTCTCATCTGCCTTTGTAAACGACAAACTGAAGAAGTTTGCAGACGGCAAGCTGTCCGACGAGGAGAGAGAGAAGCTACCCTACAAGCTCAACAGCACGGAGAAGCTTCTCGCGAACGCGCTAATGGGTATTCGTGGAGTCAAGCAAGTTCATATTGAGAGCAGAGGGAAAGGAACGGTTGAGGCAGACTTTGCTGCCACTATCAAAGCTACGTTGGTCCAGCCCCCGGGGACTGATATCTTGGAAGTAAGCGATGAAGAGTCTGAGTATTCCACACATGTCTTGAACAGGCTTGGACCGATTTATTCGCCTGCGTATTCTGGGGACGCGCTGAACCCATACGCTTCTCTGGCTCCACCGGAAATAGAGCTCGTGGACGATTCGGAGGAATCTGACGATGATGTGCTGGCCGCTGCTATCGCAGAACCGCATAAAAGTGTCAGACGCAGGCCGAAGGAGGATGATCCCGTCATAATGTCTGGGCCGAGAACGCGCGGAACGATGGCCAAGAAAGCTGGAGAAGTCGAGGAGAACGACGGGAATAGCGATGAAGAGGATGAGCACGGATACCCTGGCTTGGGACTCATAGAGATGGTCCGAATCTACAAGCAGAAGTCGCGTCCGGGCGATATAGATTCGGAGCCCAGGTACGACGTATTGCCAATAGTCCTGACGGCGAGGGAGGAAGCGGTCGAAATGGGCTGGAAAGTGTAGCACTGTTTTCACCGGAAGTGTTTGAGAAAGTGAGACGAACAAATTCAGAGACGGATCGGAATTGGTTTAGTGAAACTATGGCTCTCCATCCTGCGTGTCGAAATGTACTTAGGTACAGTTTAGACGTACTCATGGGTAGTTCTAACTTGCGTAGAAAAGAAGTATAGTGAGGCTATGTCAATGGAACAGACAAGGACGTATCTGGCAACAGTAGCCCGGTCACATAGGCCTGCTCAGCTTTTGTCTTGTGAGATACTTTGCTGAAGTTGGTGCACCGCCACAGCGAAGTGAAGGTGGCACCTAGTGGGGTAACTGCTTGTCGTCCGTGCGTAGGTGCCTTGAGCTCGCGGACGCGGAGAGCTATGTCACCTCCGCCTCGACAAACACATTTAATTGCAGCAACAACACACCTCTGTCCTCGCTATTCAACCTGATACCTCCGTTCGGGTTAGAATACTTACTGGAGCCGATCCAACACACTGCACCGGCAATACGCAGGCAACAACGATACGATACCCCACCCTACGTCGCCGCCTCCGCCTTGCCTACGTGCTCGAATCACAAGATCCCTCCACACCGACGCGACAATGTCGGCCGAACTCACCTCTATACTGCTGTCGTTCCAGCCAGACAGCCCAGACCTCGCAAAGCGGCGCGAATATGACTCGAAGGCTCGATCATTTGTCTCGCAACTGAACAACATCCCGTCGTCACAATGGTCCAAGAGCGCAAATACAACCCAAGACGTTCTTTCGGTAAGGATAGCTGAAGGCAACAACCTGTATACCGCTGACTTTACAGATACTCAACCCCGCCGTGAACTCAATAGCATACGCCTTTGCTCTCCGCCACCGCATCTCCGCTATCCTCGAGAAGAGAAACGTACCCGATACACTGCAGCCCGGTGGTACGTTATGGAATCAGCTGGTGCTCTTCCTGGAGACAGCAGACCCTATACAACTACG